TCACAACATTCAAACAGGACAAATGCCAAGTCCTGTGCCTGAGGATGGACTAACTGTCTGCAACAGTACAGCCCCCTGGCTTGGCTGGGGTCCCGGGGACAGGAGCCCAAGCACGAGTCAGCAGTGGGACCTGGCTGTGACGAAAGGCTGCTCCGAGCAGCACCAACACGGGGGCACTCTGATGATCAGGGGAACCAATTATTATTCTCCTTTACTTAGCACACACATCAAAAATATTATATCCTGTTTTCTATCACCCGATACAGGAAAGATGATAAACTTGAGCAAGCTGAGCAGACAACCACCAAAACGGCCTGAGGGCTGGAGCACAAGACCAGAAGACAGAGGCTGAGGGAAAGGGGCTTGTCTTGCCTGGCAAGAGGAGGCTTGAGGGCAGGGAACCTAATAGCAGCCTTTCAACAGCTATGAGGAGGTTACCAAGAAGGTATTCTCTCTAACGAGGTGGCAAAGGTCATAAATTGAAACAAGAAAGGATATAAGGTATCTGATGCTAACTGTGAGCTACCAGAACAATATACTTAATTGCATTCTGATAGTTGGAACAGGAAACAGTAGRTATGGCACAAGACCCTTAAAAACATCCAAAATGTAATTTCCTCTTTATGTATCAATGTATTTCTTCTCTGTGTTTGAGTAAAATGCCTTCTAGGCATAAAGAAAGGGGGTAGCTGGCAGACAAGTATTTGTTTCTTTACAGACTGCAATAATCTGGCAGAAAAAAGAAAAAAAAATGTGGTTTACTGAAGTATTTTAAAATGTCACAGAGGTCTTGAAAGGCAATAAACCAGAAGCTTTCTGCAATCTTAGACAAAAACTCTTTCAAAAATGAAGCAGATGAAAATTTGAAGAGGGTTACAGTCTCCATCCAAGAAATACCCTCCTCTTCAAATTCCTATCTCAGACTTAATAAATCAGTCTAGAAAACAAACAAAAATCTACTGGAATGCACCCACACCCCCTGCAGTGCTATTTGTGCTTCCAAACTCAACAGGAAACCACCTCACCTAGCACAGAAAGTGCAGGCCTTCAATGTGTGAAGTAACATGTAATTAACTTTATAAATTAAAAGTAGTTCTACTATGTTAGCTTACTAACTAACACTAGCAGAACTAGCAAGTCCCGGTGATGCGTGTACTTAAATATTTCTATATAAGAGTTTTAAATATATCCTTAAATGCAGAAACACTGAAAACAAGAAAGTAACCCTTCTAGTTAAACAAAACAAAAAAAMCCCTCACAAAACTGAAATATCAATAGTCATAAAATAGCAATTTTTWAAAAAATTCAACTGGGTGAATAGGATCTAACCTCCAACTGAAGTGCCCACAACTGCTGACGGACTACAGTTCTCATAGTATATAGACCACTGATGTTTCGAAYCCCAAAAACATATAAAGTACACAGAGATTTTTACTCATGTCTCTATTATGTTTTGGGATCATTACCATAGATGTTGTCCTCCTCCTGTGACTGTTTGAAATGAGGCACACTCATATGTAAAAGGAGCTTTTAACAATGCTAGCATCACTGAAAATTTTCTCAGCTTTTGTTCACAAGTCTAAAGAAATATGCTAGAGAAATACCACATGCTCCCCTTTATTGGTATGTTTCAGGAAGCAGACTATGAATTTCTCTGAGGAGGAAAAAAAGCAATTTAGGAAGTGCTAAAGAAATTCTAAATGAGAAAAAAAAAAAAAAGAGACAGAAGCAAAGCAAAATGTGTTTACCATTAATACCTTGAACAACAGACTAAGTGATACTTTGCAGACTAATATGATAAGAATAGAAGTTCATGGCAGAACCAACCTTGTATCTTCCAATGACACTTGACCAGACTCTTCATCCACTGTGATTTTACAGTGATCTCCAGACACCAACTTGTTGCCAGGGAAAGATAAGTCACAACCTTAAAAAGAAAGTGGATTTTCCAGTGCACTTAAAAATACACATTACACAGACAGATCAGYATTCTACTTGGCTATAAATGCACAACAAAGCGACTCATATACATCTGTAATAGTTCAAAATTTCTACTGGTATATAGGGAGCACCAGAGTCTGGGGTGTGATATATAAATGCAAGCAGTGAAATAGTCCCATGTATGGACATAGGTTTGTTTCAGCCATTTCAGGATGTTTTACTTCCCCATGCCCTTTTTTCCCCCTGTTTCTTTCTTCAAATTTCAGTCCTTACAGTTCCTCTGCTCTAGAATGGTAGAGATTCAAATATATTTGGGAAGTGTTCAATGTAAATTCTAGAAATACATTAAAGCTCATATAGTTCTTTTTCCACATAGTTGTAACACTGTTTCTATGAATTGAACTTCTGGTTCATCATACACTGGGGGAAAGTAGTAGGAATCAGCTGCTGAGAAGTACAAGGGTTTCACTGCTCTACCAAAGTCCTGTTTGCTTGTTTTTAAATAACAGGTTCTCCTTACCTCCATTAACACCACTGTTATGTTACTACAGGTGAAGGGAAACTGAAAACTCAGGACAGATCAAGATTTGAGCAAATGCAAGAGAAACATAATAATGATGTTGAGATGGTAGAGACCTTCCTCCTATTATTCCTGGGCTCTGAGCAAAATTAACATTTTTTCCTTCACTTTAACACTCAAATGCCATGGTCAGGGCTCCTTGTGTAAGACACTGATTTCTCTTACAGATGACTCAAAGTATCTGCTTCTAGAAGAGTTATAATTAACAAACATGATTCACTTCCACCTATTCACACTGTAGGYACATCACACCTTGGCTTACAACAACGTCTTATCCACAAGCAATACAGCAGTCACCACCTCACAGTTGTTGGCAGTTTATTACCATCCCACTCCTAATATTCCAGGACAATTAACACCTGAAGCATAAACTGGTGCCACACAGACCGTGACTCCAGGAAGCCTGACAGAAGTGACTAGGATAAACTTTACTCAGGAGGACTCCAGCGTTTCCATTCTGCTCCGTGGAGTTGTCAGACTTGAGCAAGGGAGCAGGGAGGTCACAGTGCTCCAAACAAGCCTTTCAAGGGTTTGTAGAGGTTTTTAAAGTAATATTTATGAGCCAGAGCTTGGCATTCTTGTACCTGTTCATTTTATTAACRCTAGTAAACAGTTATGGAAGCAAATCAACATGGAGACGTTTATCTTCTGCAAGATAACCCCCAACTGGATCTCACTTTGAAGAGTTCCCCTACAGCTTAGATAGAACGATAAGTGATCTGGCAYACATTATGAAACGTAAACAGGCAGAACGCTTTTTCCTACGCTATCTGTACTGCTCGGAGAGTCACAGCATGAGGGGTTTGCTGAAGACTGTGACTTTATTCTGCGATGGGYGAGTCAGAGAGTTTACACTGACAAACAGGAAACTTCAGGACTGGCGCTGCCAGGGCAGAGAGAAGGGGAGAGACTCCACGCTGACTGTTTAAGCAGTAGGAATTCCTTTAAAATAAGGGCCCGCAGCAATAACACGAGGGGCACAGGGGCTTCCAGCCGCTCCCACGGAAACCCTTCCAACACTGGTGCGGCCAGAAGCCCCAGGGGCTCCCGTGCAGGCGGTTCCCGCGGGGCTGCACGGGCATCTTCACCCGGTAGCCCCGACTTAAGCTCTTCTTTAAAGCCCAACACGAGGAGACCCCGGGAAGCGCCGCTGCTCCCCCACCAAGGGCAGGAGCCGCAGGCGGAGCCGAGGCGGCCGCCGCCAGGCCCGGGGAAGCCGCGCCGCCCCCCGGACCCACCTTTCCTGCGGCCGATGGTCCATTCGCTCTTCAGCAGCAGCACTCGCGGCTCCGCTTCGCCGGCGCCCAGCCGGGTGAGCCGGCCCCAGGGCCGCGGCGGCGGCGCCCGGCCGCGCTCCCCGCCTCCCGAGCCCTCCATGCGGCCTCACATCTGCGCGGCGGAGACAAAGCGACCGCGACACCCACCATCACACCAGGCCGCGGGGCCTCCCCCGCGCCGCCCCCGCCCGCCCGGCGGCGGCTCCGGGGGCCGGGGCTGAGGCCGGGCCGGGCCCCGCGCGCCGCCCCGGCTGCCCCTTTGTGCTTCCCCTCCCCCGCCGCGCCGCTGCCCGCCTCGGGGAGGGGGCCCGGCCGCCGCCTCCGCCCCCTGCCTCCTTCCTCCCTCCCCCCGCGACTTTCCGCCCCGGCGAGGGCGCCGCTCCCCCCGCGCCGGCCCCGCGCCCTCCCCTCAGCGCCGGCCCTTACGCCCAGCGCGGCGGCCGAGGCGGCTCCTGTCAACAGACATTGCCAGCCGTCAGCTGATCCGCCCCGCGCCGGGCCCGCCTGCCATTGGAGCGCCGCTGGCAGGGGCGGGCCTTCCGGCGCCGCGCCCCACCCCCCCGGCGAAGTCGCCACGCGGCGTGCTGCATTGGGGCAAAGCGAGGCCACGGCGCCGGAGATGCCGCGGCGGACATCTTGGGTATGGGCCRGCTCGCGACGCGGGCCGTGCTCCGGAGGCCATCTTTGTTGTGGGCGGAGCGGGCGCCCCGCCCGCGGGCTGTGTGTGGCCCTGCGAGCCGAGCTCGCCTAAATCGTTGTCGCGCTTAGTAACAAAAGATAAGGGTGGTTTAACTGCTCGATAGCTACAGAGTTATTAATTTGCCAGCAGCAAGATGAGATTAAGGAGCGCTTAAATAAGAAATATACTTGCTGCTGCAAGAAAATGCTTTAAAGGGTGGTATTTTTTTTTTTTTAGGTGAGGAGGCATAAGGGAGCAATCAATTATGAGGGACAAATCTTAATTTTAAATAATAAAAATACAAAATCTGCAGCTAGCAGGGGCAGGAACTGSCACTACAGAGCCTGCTGCATCACTTCTCCACCCCTGTCACAACAGTTCTCAGCACCATGGCGGCCCTTTCTCCCCTCCTAAACCTTTCACCACTACCTGCATCTCACCCAGCTCATAGCCGAGAGCCTCATTTATCAGCTTCAGCTTTCTCCAAAACATCCATAGCAGCCGCCTTCCTGTAATCTCCTTAAGCCACCAGCGCCCCGTATAAGGTGGCTTCCTAGGTAGATGAGCTATCATCCACTTAACATCAGCTACAGTCTTCTGGTGGTTGATCTCCTTATCGTAGATTCAGCCTAAGGCCTTCGTCGGTTTTAGCTTTATCCAAGTTGATCAGGAGGAAGCCGAGATATCCTGGCTCTCCCTGCTGGTTAGCTTCTTAAATTAGTCCGATAACATGCAGAGATGGTCAACCTTTTTTATGGGGGGTTTTGGTGTTTGAGGTTTGGATTATCTCCAACAGCATAAAAACTGAAAAGGAAAGAAAAAATAAAAAAATAAAAAAAAAATAAAAAAAAAAAAAGAAAGAAAAACTAACCCATCTGCAATTCTTTGCATTGATGCCCCCACTTGATTCACAGTTTTGAGTCCCCTGATCTTGCTTTTTTCTTAACCTCTCCTGGAAACCCTGTAGATCCCCCTAGCCAGATGAATCTCAGTGATACTGGACTGTGCTGGAAGACTTGATCGGGACTACTGATAAGAGCAAAAATATTGAATTACAAAAGTGTTTCAGATCTGCGCTTTAAACTGATTCCTAATGCACAATATTGCTTCATGGTACTCAGTCACATGGACCCTGGTACAGGAGAAAATAAAAGCAGCCACTTAAGTCAAAATTGATGCATGTACTTAAGAGCTTTGCATTATTGACCTTTGTCTATAACTCTTCCTTTAGTAACAATACTAAAAAAAAAAAATTGGCTCTTCAAGGCCTGACTGATTGCATTTCTTCAAAAGGATTTGTCTGTAAAATACCTTACTTACTTTGAACTTTGTCCTCGCTGAGGACTAACGCCTTTTATCTATTTGGAGAGAGACACATCAGCAGAAGTTACAATCACTCACCAGCACTGCCACAGTGCTTCATTTTTATTACTGCTCACAGTTACCAGCAATTGTTATCTCCGAGCAGCAGCGGAAAATACCAGCGCATGGGAAATGCGACTAAAAGCCCAACAACCAGATCTTTTGTGTAAACCATAGCATTAGCTGGGGGAGGAAGTTGTTTTGTTATATTGTGGCGTTGAGAAAACATATTTTCCAGCTATCCTTGCCAAGAGATCCCTCTGCAATCACACCAAGGAATTACTGCACCTTGGTGATAGCGCACAGCAAGCCAATGATTGGTTCGGCTCCTGCAGCTCTCCCATAGTATCCATGTAAGAAGACAGCAAATGAAACATACAGCTAGCTTAACGAGTCGTGTGTGGATGGGAGACTCAATTAAAATTAAATTATACAACAAATTAGGTTTTAAATGCTGTGCTGCTTAGCCAGCCAGACAAATAATAATTAGAGATGTACTGATTTGGTGCTATGCATAGTTGAACAGCAGACTGCTATAACTGCTTTTAATGTACGTTGACTACACTTCACTCGCAGCTTAGAGAAATTTTATACTATTTTCCAAACGACCAGTCCCTGAAAGGGCCGATCACTGATCTGGGCGAGGCGGAATAGACAGGAACTTTTTCCAGAGTCCATCTTTCCCCTCTGTTCCATCCGTTAATGTTTCTTTAGTAATATACCTCTCTATGCAAGCCAGGCTGCTCTAGGAGGAATTCGTTCTCAGGCTCTGAATCGTATAGGCCTACGTGCATACATACCTACCTACACAGGAGAAAAAGAAGCTACAAATACRTATGTTTTCCCCCACAAACAGGAGCATAGCAGGATAGCAGGAGACATATAAGCCATTTCAAAATATTCCATGGAGCATGGATAGATGCAAAGCCCAAAAGTGGCACCTCTGATAGTGGTTCCCAGCAAAGGAAATTGAGGAGATCTTACTAAAGGACAGTACAGAAATGAGTCCTATTGAAAAGGACCTGAAAGCAGCTCCTCACTTCCCCCTCTAAAATTTCAAATCTGTTTGCATAGCGTTAATGTCTGCAGCTATCAGTCACGCTGTGACAGATAACGTTCTGAAAGACTGATGCTGTTTGATTTTCTCTACAAATTTTTCACCTCTAGTAAAAGTAACATTAAATTATTAGCAATCTGACAAATGCAACATGGAAAAACACGGTTTATGATTACAATAATCATTATGTGTTTTGCATGGGAAATAGAATATTTTAGAATTATCCTAAAACATCAAGTGTTGCCATGCAGCCATCTTCAGCTGTGCTTTCCTACAGCTGTCTGCTTGCCTGTGAGTAAGGAAAAACAGCCTTGTAGCGCAAAAGGAAACCAGGCACAGCCTTTTAGTGCAGCGTTTTTCCAACTATTAACAGCCCAATTCTATAGATTAATGATGTTCCTCCCATGCAGTAAATTAAAACGCACTATTAACATAAAGTATTTTCAGATTCAGGCAGCCAGCGCCAAATCTCTTTTTTTTATTATGTGGTAGAGAGAGGATGACAGCCAGAGGCATCCTGTGAGAAGAATAGGATCACATTAGGCACCCTTTCTTACACTGTTTATCCAAGCATTCATTATTGACCGGGGTTGCTGCTTGGGAGGCTTTTAAGCTGGCTAATACAGCTGTTCCTGCATTCCTGTGTTGTGAGTTTTCCTTCTTATTTGTCCCTGAAAATTGCCCACAAGCTGCAGTTTTAGCTGCTGTGAGATTGGGGTAAGTGTATGGAAAAAGAAGGCCTAGATTCTAGAGAGCTGATTCCCTAGGAAATGCAAAGAATTTTTAAAGAAAAAAAGGGCATCAAGGATCTAAGGAAACAACACAGTTTCTGGGAAAAAGTCCCCTTCCGAAGGGACCATGATTAAGCTTTTTTGCTGGAGCAGAGGGAGTGGTGGCAAGACTGCTCTGTGCCCAGTAAACAAACATGGATCAAAAATAACACAATTACTGCCCACCCTTCACACATGAGCTTGCACTGATGCGCGACACTGCTAGTTTGCTTTGAAAGCCCCTTGTGAATACAGTTGGGAATTTCTTGGAGAGAGGGAAAAAAATCATAACTTAAAATATCTATGGACATTTCCATTTAGGAATCACTAACATCCTATTATCTTGTTAAATTCAGAGTAGTATTTTAAATACGCTTTATAGCAGATTTTATGTCCAAATCRATCTAAATAAAGTGGCAAATCAATTTAGATTTTTTACCTTTCTTGGATTGTAGTTTCTGACCAGCAAGCTCTGAAACTAGCTTGCAAAGCCAGCATATGATTATGTCTGTCTAACAAAGAAAGTGTTTCCACTGGATTAGCAAAATGGAAGTATTTCGATCACCTCAGGATTTCTAAGATATGGATTTATTTATTTGATTTTTTTTTGTAAATCCAAGGATCAATACACAGCCTAACAGCAGGGTCTCTCCCCCATCTTAACCACAGAATTAACGTGTAGACCGATTCCTACATASCTTGGACCTCATCCTCAAAATGACCTCTGTAATGATCCTTTTTGTCACTTATAGGTGGCAGTCCATGCTTTCCTTATGAGGATTTAACTCATGATGTTAGAGAAATCTTTGCAGCACTTACACAGTCACAGTCCTAGATTGACATATTTAGTCTGAGGAAGAAAAAAAATCGCTTGTATTATCTCAGGATGAAAAATTAACTGCAGAAAAATTACATTAATACATCTGCAAAGACTTCCTCTCCATAGATATTTTGGAGAATTTACAGTCTTGTTAAAGAACTGATTGCACCAGAGGGGATTTTCAAAATACTTCCTTCTCTGAGTGTTTTCAAACATATTTCCTCCAGGGGGTGCCAAATTAACACCACTGGAAAGTAAAAATATATAAATTATGCACAACAAGGACATAAGAGCTATCCATACTATACATTTCACCGTGCCTCCCGAGTGATACACTCCTCCAGCCTGGCCTGAAGGCTCCCGCGCTCAGAGTGAGATTTAGCAGCCGTTTGTTGATGTGCCTCTCACTTGAGCAAGTCGAGAAGCGCAGATTGCTCCTACAATTCATTTCAGGCACATCCCTGCCAAGCGCAGATAGGACACATCCTTTGGAAAAGAGCTTTAAGGGTGGCTGAGTGGAGGAAAATATCCATCTCAGCGTTTTAAAAGGCTCAAAAGGCCACGAGGAGGTGAGAATTTACAGATGTAGCGACACTGGTATTTAGCATTACCCAGCTTGTGAACAAGAGCAGCAGCGACCTGAACACAGCAATGAAAACGATTCTGAAAACGTTCAGAATAAGATGGTCAAGGGTGTCACCAGTCTGCAGGGTTTGATAGCCCCGAGTTTAGGATCTGTAAGTGTCATTATAATAAAAGAAATTTCACTGGGCAAGAAAATACAGGCCTATTACTTAAAGCAGGACCCCTAAAGTGACCAGCAGCGTGTTTGTTATGCAAGGGAATGCGTCTGATCACTACAGACTAAGCAGCAAGTAAAAAAAGAAAAATGATTGGGAAGTAACACAGTAATGTGCATGCATTTTCCACATTTCCACTGCTCACATTTTGCTTTTTATCTGCACAGCAGTTAAAATAATCATACAGTCCAAATATTCAGGATCCTTCCCCTACCACRTTAGAAGTATTACTGAAAGAATGCCTGGTTATCTTCTATTTGACAGTAAAATCTCCGCCGGATAATTATTTAGGTAGAAAACTTCTGCAAGACTCCAATATAAAAGACAAACTCCTAGCATACACTTACTTTGTCCTCTCTGATTTCAAAATGCAAGTTTACTTCTCTTACTTTGAGATTAGCAATGAAAGCCAACACTGGCAGTGAACACCAACATTATTAAACCATAGTATTATACAAGCAAACACAGTGCCAGAACGGAAAAAAAAACTCCAAACTTGGATAGTAATACATTACTAGGGCCATCTCAGGCCCTGGGGAATCAGTTTGGACTTCAAGCAGATGCAAGAGAAAGATTTTCATTTCCAAAAACTGCTGTACTGGGCTCTCAGCTGTAGGTAGTGATGAACTAGCACTGTGGGCACCGAGTTAGGCRGYTGGGCATCACCTGAAAATATTTGTRCTTGTCTAGACCAGGCTTAGCTTTGAACAGCAGTGGAAGTATGATGAATTTATTAATCAAAGCTGGAATATTGAGGGGAGGGATTTTGTGACCAGTTAGGGAAYGGTAGCTAGGAGCTTAATATTTTACATATTGTAAATCGTAGCTATCTGTGAATTGACTGGGACCAGACCAGACCATAAGAAGATAAGAACTAGATGTCACCTGCAGTGTATGCCTGGAYGTCTGATCATTATCACTATGAATGGTAACCTACCCTAAATCCCATCACCTTCCAAATAGACACTGACATCGGTGGAACATCTCACCTTGGGAGTTGCTTTTACTCAGCATTGTTTTCTAGAGACTCRTTGTAATTTTTGTTCTGTGCTACCTGTGGAGGTCCAGGCTAACACACCAGCCCGTTTGACTTCCAGTGAGGTAAGGTACCTCCTGAGAAGGGAAAAAGCCTCTTTCCTACATCTTGCACAAAAACAAAGGGTCCCATAACATCTTGCCTGGCTTATTATTGGCAGGGAGTTAGATTCATCAACCTTGGAGGATGGGAATGTGGCAGCAAGTTGGGTTTTTGTTTTTTTTTTTTTTCTTTTGATTTATTAAAAATCCCTGCTGTGGACATTAGGAGGAAATTGGCCATAATTCAGAAGGGGTGGTTCTGATGGACAGTGAGATGGAAAGTTTCATATTAAAGCCTTAGGAGGCCAAAAAGAAAATTGAAAATCTGGAAGTATCGGCTGATGGGCAGTATACTTTCATTACAAAGAAAACCAAGCTCTATAAACCTCTTGGCAGGAGGGATAAGAGTAGAATCAAAACAATGACCTTGAGATCAGTTTCGGGCCGGGGAACATTAAGCTGATGAAGGAAAGTAAAGGAGAGGAAGAAGAATTGTAAGTCAGACATCAGCTTTAAGCTGGACCTCTTTCTGGGCCATCCTGTTCAGATGATGCCCATACTTGCAAATTCTTCCTACATAAAAGGTCAAATATGTAACCTTTTCTTTCCAGCTGTGCAGCTAGAACTTCTACCTTGGATCCCCTTATTTTGCATCTCCCTGCTGCAGTATTCCATCTTTTGTTTTTATCATTTAGTGTCTTGCTCCATTCCTTTGCCTAGCCTATGCTTTGGYGAGATCACTTCCTATTTGCATCCCTTGTTTACTTCGCAATTCCCTGTTGCTTCAGAAAAAYATAACTCTTCTTTACCAAGAGACCTGGTGGCCTATCTCCATCCAGCTTATCATCATTAGCTGTGAGACCTGGAGACCTGGTCAATACTCCAATACGTAGGGCATGTAAAGACTACAGTAGTACAAATAATTAAGATTAATCCTTCCTCACTTCTGCAGCAATGGATGTGCCCAGTTCACCAGCAGCGAAGTGGTGAGTGGGAGAAGATGCACGGCTGTATGGTGAGCCGATGGTGGAGAGGACAGTGTTACTACTGCAGCCCCTCGGCCACCACAGAGATGCTGTTGGGCTCCCCAGAAGTCCGAGTCTCCTCAGTTGGAAGAATCCAGCACATAAAGCAGCACAGGGAGAAAGTTGATTTACAAAGGGGCTTTATCCCACATTTCCTCCTAAGCCTGAGCTCAGGCTAAAGGAATCRCTGAAGACCCTTAACCTGGGCGAGGATTAGAGAAGCCAAAGAAAATATATCACTGGCTAGCTAAAGCTCTGGAGGCAACTTACTCTGATTTATGGGCTTGTTGGAAGGCTGCACCCAAAGCCACGGCAGCAGGAGACAGCATGGATGCTGGCTCAGCATCACCATGAATTTTTTTCCATATGAATGCTGGTCACTTAAACTCACCASATTCAGCTTTGAGAAGAACACAGACAGTAAAGAAATGAAAGTTGCAATACCCTCTAAACATTAGCCTTAATGTTAGTCRTTTTATAGCATACACATCTATAGCAGCAGTATATACATGAAGGAGTAATAACGCAGGAACTCACCTAAATCACTGGTTTCCAGCTTGTGCTCTGCAGAGTCTGGCAAGCCCATGGAGAGCTTCTAAAGAATCTGCAAAAAGTGACTGAGAAACAGCAAATTCATAAATGCCAGACAGCAGTCTACATGCATGAAATTCCTGAAGGAATTCCACTGCTGCTGGAAAACTTTTTAGGGGTTCAAAAAAAAAAAAAAAAAATCAAAAAAAAAAAAAAAAAAAAAAGGAAAAAAACACTGGCCTAAACCTTACTCTGCAACAGCATATGGTCCAGAACTGCAGCAATACGAGAACCTTGGGAATTGTGTGACAGCTAAGTGGCACAAAAATCTCTGCAGCTTCTCACAGCTGAAAATGGAAGCGAGCAGGACAGACGTTTATCTGTTTAGCTTTTGTATGGGGATTAGTGTTAAAACAGACACAGAGAATAGGAAGACCAGCCCATGTCAATGCTAACTCAAGTAATCTTGGCTACAATTACTGTATGCAACAAGTTGGGATGCACGTGCTCCCTGTACAGATTGGTCATTTCAAACCCTGAGCTCTCATCAAGTTATAAAGGAAAAAAAAAAGGGACAAGGACAATCCCTATTAGGGCATGAAGTAGTTATTTTAAGAGATTCTCTGGAAATAAGCTTGTTTCTGTGCTAATTTCTCTGCTGGCAGAACCAATTCATTTTTGGCCTTTACAAGCTGGCCTTTTACATTTGATTTAAAATTGGATTTGGGCCTCTGGGGATCTCTGATGTCAGGCTGCCTAATGCAGTGTCAACACGAAGACACCGGGAGATAAAAAGTCAGTTTCACTTAGAGTTTCCCTTCTCCAGGATCTAATGGGGCTTTTCACTCCTTCGCTGTTGCCTTGGGATCGCTGCATCTTCCTGCCTTGTGTCTTCAGTGGAAGAACGAGAGCGCATGGAGCGGCCTCCACGGTCCGGAGCGCCCGGCACAGCTGCAGCGCATACGCACGCTTCACCATAGCACCTCAKAAAACAATCACCTAGCAGACAAATTTTACTTGAATATTTGAAAAGCAGAAACTCCAGGGTCAGAGCGATGCAGACCGGAGGAAGGGTAATCGTAGGCGGCGGGGAGAACTAATGAGATTCGCTTGGCTGGAGGAAATGGTCAGACATTAGCATTTCAATAGCACAGGTCAAAGCTTTTCATCCAGCGCAGGATGTAGCTCTCTGTAGACCGAGCTGATACATCCATAACATCTGTACTGGGAGCTGCATGTTTTAATACGAATTCCCAACTGCAGGTTACTCCCTACAAAGGCTTGCATGGTCCCTCCTGCCTCCCTCCCTGACCCGTCATGTGGCAGATGCTCATCTGGAACCTATGACTTAACCAGCTGAAAATGGGACACGAAGGAAAAGAGCAAGAACACGGAGTCTCTCAAGGGTTTTAGGAAAAACAGTCTGTAGGCACATAACTTCATGACATACGTAGCGGAAGACTGAATTAAGATTCCTTGGACAACCTTAATTCTGTGCTTTTCTGACACATATATGACTTTGCTACGATGAGGATTGTGTAATTCCTGAGGGCAATGACATATATCATTTAGTAGAGCGCAAGCTGATCATTCTCTCTACCAACACAAGCACTAACAAAGTATTTTCTACCTCTGCCTGTGACACGATTCAAGGTTATGTTTCCTTTGCAGAGGATGACTGAGAAGCAAAGTACTTGCTTCCTCTTCCTTAAGGGAGCTAAGTGAGAAGTGCAGAGCTAACTGCATCAGCACTTTGCCATCCACCGAAGAGCACCACAAGTAAACACCTGGCACGCCAATTAGGATAAATTCAYAAAGTGGCACTATGTGCAACGTTCACAGCATGAACCTTTCCCAATCCAGGCAGATTCACTTACATTTTCTTCCTTTTCCTTGAAACAGTGACACACTGCTGAGACACAAAACTCAGAATTTCCCAGCCTATGGTGGTGTTATGGTCCAGACTTCTACAGCCTCAATGTCTTGCTTCCCCACTGCTGCGGAGCAGCAAATGGAGCTGCAGCTGTGCAGCGGCCCGGTCCTCTCTTGCTTGGCACATTAGCTCTTGCAAAGGCAGCAGAGAGGATAATTGCTCCACACCTCACAATAATCACATATTTTCAGACTGGATTTTTTGCCACTCTTCTCCATATAGCTGATCTGCCTGAAACATCAAGGGAAATCCTCTCCATCGGATGCTCTGTGCTGCTGCTGAGTGTTGTGGAGGGCTGTGATCCTTCCTTGATGTTGTCTCCTCCTTTGCTTACACCTATGTGCAATCTAACGCCTTCCCCCTGCTCTGTCCTCAGCAGTCACTGCCCAGCATCACATCCCCCATCAGCTTGGCCTCCTACCCCAGCCAGGTTCACGTTAACTAGTTGATTGGATTCAGCTGGCTCTGTCTGTGATATAGCAGTCATCTGACTGCACTTTCTGGGTGCTCAGCCTGGATATCCACATCAGTCCCTTGCCAGAAAGAGGAAAAGCAGTGCTGTGTTTTTCATAGTGTTTTTCTTTAATGACACTTCCTTCCTTCCATTAAGCAGATGTCCAGAGGAGACAAATGAATTGCCATGTATATCTAGAGGATCTTTGAGATCCTTAGTGCAGGCTTAAGTGTRGGGGGATAAGAAAAATAAAGGGGAAATGAATTAATGAAGGAGCTTGAAAAAGTGTGAACCCTCAGTGTGGAAAAATAAGAGAGAGCTAGAAACCAGAGGCACAAGAAAATATCCAAGACATACAGATACTGCAAAATAATGCAGCTATTAGAGAGGAAAATCAAAACAAAACAACAGAGGAACCTCATGCAATATAGGGATAGCTGGTGTTCAGCAATGCTCCTAGAAATTTTAATATGATGTGTCAGATTAAATCATGACAGCAGGACAGGCTTATCTGCAAGCGTCACGTTACTTCCCCTGGGATCGCTACCTTCCCACTGGTGCTCCTGCCATCTTCTCCTTCCCCCCCAAATCTCACTTGACCTGAATTCTCCTGATTTGACTCCGTAATCCCCTGGTTTCCCCTGTATGCACACAAAAGATTATTGTACAAAAGCAAATTCCCAGGGTCTGGGGCTTTGCTTTCCATTTAGTTAAAGAATTATCCTACAGTAGTTTAGGTGCTGGGAAACTTGTCCTGTAGATTATTGCCTACAGGGCAAATGCTGAGGAGACTGCTAACGAGAGAACAGATGTTCCYGGGCTTATGAGCCTTGCTGAATGCAAATATCTGCAGCACAGTGCTCGTCAATAAGCCTCTGCCTAAGAGTCGCAGCCCTCTCGGACCAAATTCATCCCCCGTGTAAATGCATGGGCTTAGGCAGAATTACGAGGAAGAAGTTGGTCCTTGATCTTCAGCAGAGAGACAGAGTTAAAGCCTTGTACAGAGATTACACATCATAAGAAAATGCTTTTAGGCTAAAACTTGCCTCTTTCCATGACAAAATGYAGCTCTTAGACCTGTTACGACACAGCAGACCTGAAGTAAATAGATTTCACTGAGACTTGGTATTAGAGGTGAAAATCCTGGAATAAGTGAGCCCCTTTACAGTTTTGCTTGCCTCAGTAAAAGGCCTCGTGGCTTTACGAGGCCTTGGTCTCTGGCGGTGGGTTTGGTCTATCCGGTGGTAGGAAGGCAGGGGCTGGAGATGAGATTCGCTGCCTGTTCCCCAGGCCCCAAGGGCCACAAGCTCCCCGGGAGCCTCTCTGGGGCTAGCACAAGCCCAGGAGATGGTCAAGGTTGGTTGGACTCTGAAGTCCCCCTGAGAACATGAAAAGGGAAGGCAAGGGAGCATGGAGACCCTTACACAAAGGGATGTGTGGACCTATCACCACAGGGTGGCTCGTTGCAGTACATCCACTGAGGAAAATAACCCCACAGCACTGAACCTTAGGACCTGGACCAGCTGCTGAACTGTTCCTTGACRTGCAGCAAAGCACCTCACGTGCTGACAGCCCGGTCGGCGCGGGGGCATCGCCAGCTCTGCGGGCACAGCAAAGGCCTGGTTCAGCACAGCCTTCTCCAACACTCAGCCGTAATAGTAATGCTTAACAGCATGATCCTTCATGGTAGGAAGTCTCATAAAAAAATAAAATTAAAAACCATGCTAGAATTCCTCATTTGGAGACAAGCATTCACCATGGGGCGTAGGCACCTGCCCTGGCTTGAGCAGCGCTGCAAGACTAGAGCGGGGAGGAAGGGCAGATACCAGCGTGTAAACCCTTACGGCCTGGGTCTTGGCTACTAGACACTCAGTATTGGGTTCAAGACCCCTAGGAATTGGCTACTAGACACTCAGCATTTGGCTCTAGACCCTTAGGAATTGGGTGCTAGCCCCCTAGGAATCAGGTGCAAGGCGATAAGAATTGTCTGCTAGACCCCTAGGAACCCCTTTCCTAGGGGACCACCTCTAGGAATTCCCTAAGAATCGGTACTAGACCCCTAGGAAGGGGGTTCCAGTGGCCAGGAGTCGGTGCCAGGCACTAGGTGGCGATGCGGGTCCGCAGCAGCRCGGGGGGCGCCCCCTTCCCGGGCCCTCTCCGCATCCCAGTGCCTCCCTCCGCATCCCGCAATCCCTCCTGCTCCCTGCGTGCCCCTAACCACCTGCCGCATCCCTGCGCGCCCCCCATCCCCGGAGCATCCCTGCCTCCTGATTCTGTTGCGCTTAGAGTTGCCTCCGCTCTGCTTCTCTCTGCCTGCCGCTCGCGCCGCTGCAATTAGCACCGCTGCAATTAGCACTGCGTGAGCCAGAGATCACAGCAGCGAGGAGGACAAAAACGGGGCTAACCGGGGGCTAGGGGTGCATGCAAACACCCCCCATCCCCACCCGGGCTGCCTGTTGCATGGCAGACTTGCTGCTAACTCTGCTGTCAACCCTTGTCAACGCTAACACGGTCGCCTTCAAGATTTCTCCCTCCATTAGAACATCTGTGCTTTGGATTAGTTTTCCCTAGATAGATTTACTTAAAATTTTTCCACATTGAATCTCCGTTTTTTGTTTTTTGTTGTTGCTTTCTAGTCTATCTAGGTCCTTTGCGTGCATTCAAAATCTCCCATTTAGTGGGGTCAGCAAATT